CGTGCGCCTTTATGGCGTCACCTGGTCTCGTCAGGTTCAGGATCGATCAAAATGGAGAAGTTGCCAGCTGCATCGATGGCGTGACATCAGAGATCGATGAAACAACAACTGTTCAAGGTGTTCAAGGTAAGGTATTCCCGCTCCAAATACAACTTAGAGGTTTCATGTTCAGCCTCCATGCACGCGTGGTTCTCGTGTACGGGCACTTAAATTTTTGACTGGTAAATTACTCATTGAACAGCTGAGTCATTTTCAAATAAAAACGACCGCTAAACGGAAATCGTTTATTTCCTTTTATGAAAAATTTACGATGATTTACGGTGTTGAGCGTACAAGGTAGGTGTGAAGAAACAACCGTTCATGCAGTTAACCTAATTACTTCAAGTTTGTTGCAGAAACGCGTGATTGCACCGGCTCGCCTGATGCGTTCCAGCCTGAGTTTGACGAACGGATGCTCTAGCAGCATTTCCACTTTTCAGTGAAATTTTTGCATTTTCAAAAATTTGCGTTTTTCATTTTTATGCGCTTTTGCATGTATGCAAATTGCAACCCAGGCTGGAACGCACCAGGCTTGCCGGTGCGATCATGCGTTTTTGCACCATCGCAGGCCGCTAATAGCAGGGATGGTCCTTGCGCTGCAGCCTAACACTTGGGCTCAAAGTAATCGTGCTTTGGCCCCTTCTGGCATGCAGGAGGAAGGACGTCGGTTGGGATAAACCTGGTGCATTATAGAACCGCACGGACTTCCAGATACATAATTACTAGTCTATTACATGAAGCCCGGTCGTTTTTGCCTATATGCAAATTGCAAAAACGCATATTGCGACGACCCTGTCTGTGTGTGTATGTGTGTGTGTGTTCGTCTGTCTGGGCATTTCAACTCGGCAACCAAGCAAGCTCCGGCGCCAAAATTTTGCCAATTGCTTTCCCAGCTAACTGTCACCCCAGAACCACGGTACCAACCCTCACACACGTCTGGGCCTCGTGTACGAGAGGATGAAAGTTTTGGCGCGAAAATTGATATCTTGGGAACGAGAAAAGATAGAAAGCTGAAATTTTGAGGTTATGTTCCCCGCCTAATATAACTGAAAGATTTCAAATTCAGCCGTCAGGTGTGCATGGTTCCCACGTACAGCCTCATGAGGGTTCCCGGCGCGAAAATCGCTAGCTTGGGAACCGGATAAGCTGGGAGGAGGCTGAAATCTTCAATAACTGTTCCCAGCATAAGTTCAGCATAAATCTATCAAATTCAGCCCCCAGTCGTACGTAGTTCTCACGTATAGCCTCGTGAAATTTTTTGGCGGGAAAATGGCTAACTCAACTGGTAGGCTGAAATTTTCAGGAGATTTTCCCAGCCCATGTACGACTTATTGTTATCAAATTCAGCCCCCAGGCATGCGCGGTTCACAAGCGCGGCCCCGTGATACTTTTTTGGCGCGAAAATGGCTAACTTGGGAACCAGGAAAGCTGGAAGGCTGAAATTTTCAAAGGGTGTTCCCAACCTATCTACAACTTAGAAATTCCAAATTCAGCCCCCAGGTATGCTCCCAGGTCACGTGCGGCTTTGTGACGTGCGTGAGGGCTGGTACCGCGGTTCTGGGGTGACACTTGGCCGGAGAAGCGTATGGCAAAATTTTGGCGCCGAAGCTTGCTTGATTGTCGAG